AAATGCTTTAGCCAAATACAAAGCTGGAAATGTTGATTCTTCTTTACAGGCAGAATTATTGGATGTTCGAGAATTAAAATTTGCTCAAAAATTGTTACAAGCAAATTCAACCCTTTTTGAAGATTCTTTTCTTAAACAAATACCTGCTAGCATGAAATGGTTACCTATTGTTTCAAACAATTCTGAAACTGATTCAACGCGTGTGTTTATTGAAGTATTAAAAGATGGGGTAAGTAAAATACAAAAAATATATATTAAAAAGTCTTCCGGAAATGTGTATTTTATTTAATGAAAATACATTTCCGGAAAATACATCGAGGAAATATTAAAATAAACACTCCGGAAATGTATGTATTTTCTTCCGGAAAATACATCAAAAGAAAGTTTTCCGGAAATGTGTATTTTATTTAATGAAAATACATTTCCGGAAAATACATCAATGAAATATAACATTTCCGGAAATATTCCAATGTTTCCGGAAATGTATTTTTTGAAAATACCAGGAAAATACAACTGATAAACTTTTCCGGAAATATAACCGGAAAATACAACAAATAAAGCTTTTCGGAAATAAATATTAAAATGTAGGTTGGTGTTTCCGGAAAGTATTTTTTCATTTAATATATAACGGAAAATACATTCCGGAAAGTTATGTATAAGCGGTTTTAAAGAATGTATTTTTCCGGAAAATAATTTTCTTTCTCTCGTTTCTTTTTTATAAAACAACTTTTCATTTTTATTTATTTTTAGTTGGAAGACATTCCTATACCTAACATGGCTGATCCAAACTCAGAAATTTTTTTGAAGTTAGAACAAGGAAGTCGACATTTTGTGCCTTTCAATTGTATTAAACATTTATTAGAACGTTCAGAAATTTGTCTACTTTAGAATACCAAAGATGCCTTTTTTTTTTTCCTTTTATGTATCAAATTGTATTTTTATTTTAGAACTTTATTTTGTCTTATTTTCACAACAACAAGTAAATTATAAAAATATTTTTTACTCCAAAATGTACTAGGCTTCCAACCACACCAACCCCCAGCCGAAATATCTTCAATATTGCTATTTCCAGTATAATGAGGATCTAATACTAAATATTGACAGTTACTAAGTCAGGGATTGTAATAAATTCCAATTATTGTATGGGCAAGTTGTAATACGTACAAAATGCTGAGATCTACTTAAAACAAAAATGAAGGGGGTTCCGCGGTAACCCCCCGATCCAAAAATTATTCTCTTATATTTTGTGAAATTCAAAGTTGTCACAAACCCCTCAACTTAAGTAAAATAATTAATATAATTTTTCATATTAAGTAAAATTTTCCCTCTTTTTATAGTAAAATTAGAGAAGAAATCTTTTCATTATTTTAAAATTAAAAATTTTGACTATATTTAATATTTGACTAGTCCAATAAACAAATAAACACAATATTGACCCCCCCCCCCCATTTTCCTCTGTCTTACCTTAAGCAAACAAAAATTAAAGTCGAAATAAAACATTTTTTCTGTTTGTCCTTACCTTCCCGTTGCAATTTCGGTCAGTCGTTGACCGTTGGACTGTTTATTTTTACAATCAGTTTTAATTTTTGTTTGTCTTTTATTTTTAAATATTTTTAAATCGAGAAAAGGAATGCGTGTTTTCCTCTTAAATTATTTAGAGTTTTTCTTTTTTTATTTTTACTACGTTTATAAAGTCTTATTTTTAGTTATGAATAGAGTTGTTGGTTCAGAACGAATACCCATTAAATGGTGAGGATAGGTTACTATTTGTGTTTAATTTTTGTGTTTTCCGGAAATGTATTTTCCGGAAAATGATTTTAGTTGTAACTGTCTCCTTTGTGTTTTCCGGAAAATATTTAATTTTTCCGGAATATATTAATTCTTTTTCCGGAAAAGTGTATCACTCTCCTTTTTAATTTTTTGTGTTTTTCGGAAATGTATTTTTTCGGAAAATGATTTTAGTTGTAACTATCTACTTTGTGTTTTCCGGAAAATATTTAATAAATAATTTTCTTTCCGGAAAAGTGTATCACTCTCCTTTTTAATTTTTGTGTTTTCCGGAAAAGTATTTTTTCGGAATTACACTTATTTTCGAACCTACAATCCTATGGTACATGAGACACCTTGTCTTTAATTAATTTTTTAAACTCCTTTAAAGCCGAATTTTAATTTTCCATATTTTTCTAATATTTTTTTTCATTTTTTTCTCCTCCACTGACCCATTTTTTATTCGTTTTCAGTTTTCCCCTCCATCTCGAGACTTCACCTTTTATAAAACAATAAATATTGTTGCATGGCTTGAGGGTCGTTTACCTCTGCGCGAATTAATTTTTCCCTCATATCCTTCCTCTTCTGTTCGCGTTCATGCCGTTTATAATATCATTTGCGCATCCCTCTAACTCCCCAAAACTGCTTTTTCCTTTTTTATTTTTAATCGATCGCTTTCAATATAAAAATTATTTTTTGATCGAAAAGTGTCCTTATAAGAGAAATTTTTTTATTTTTTGAAAATTTTTTGAAAAAAAAATTTTAATTAATTTTTTATACCCCTCAGAATGACTACTAAACCAACTACAAATTCATCAATTTCCTCAATTTCTTCCTCTTCCTGTCCTTCCACATTTTCCTCCATTTATTCAACATCTACACACTTACCTGTAATTAACCCAAAAACAAAAAATAATTCCTCTTCAATTTCCGCCTTAAATGAAAATTCTTATTATTCACAACAAAAGACACAAACACCCTCACAAACAACTTCAAAACAATTTAATTCCTCTGGTTATTTATACAGAAATTCCTGGGCAAACCTTTTAACAGATATTGGGGAGAATAAAACACACAACAAGTTGGTAAACAACAAAAACACAAATAAAATAAAATCAGAATTTTCTTTCCGGAAAGGTATGTGTTTTATGTATTTTTTAAACATGTATTTTTATGTATTTTATGTGTTTTCAGGAAATGTATTACATATTTTATTTCTTCCGGAAAAGTATCCTTTCCTTGTTTAATTTTTGTGTTTTCCGGAAAAATAATTTTATGTATTTTCTGTAAATTGTCTCCTTTATGTATTTTCCGGAAAGGTTTAATAAATAATTTTCTTCCGGAAAGATATCTCTCTCCTTTTATAATGTATGTATTTTCCGGAAAATTATGTATTTTCTGTAAACAATTTATAATTTACGTATTTTCTCCCTTGTGTTTTCTTTCCGGAAAAACATCTCTCCCTTTGTAGTATTTTTTGTATTTTCCGGAAAAATTATGTATTTTCTGTGAATATTTTTATAAGCTATTTTTTCTTGTGTTTTTAATAAATATTTTTCATTCCGGAAAAGTATCCCTCTCCCTTTTTGTATTTTCCGGAAAGTATTTTTCCTTAATTTAATTTTCTCTCAGCTTTTAATTGGATAAAATTTCCTTGGCAAAATACCCAACCAACTTCCTCAAATATTAACAATAATAATATATTCCCACCACCTCCACCTTATGAAGAAAGAATACACAAACAAATATACAATAATAATTATTTAAAAAATCAGAATTTTGGAATTTATGGGGGAAGGAATGGAGAGGATATTTATAACTACAGTTGCGGGCAAAATGTATGAATTTTTTGGAATTTTTGAAAATTAAAAAAATTTTTTTCTTGAATTTTTTAAAGTAAAAATTTTTTAAAGTAAAAATTATTAAAAAAAACAAAAAATTTTTCTAAATTTTTAATATTTTTTACAATTTTTAGAGCACCAACCCAATTATCTACTCTTCTAGGCCCGCACCTTTCCCCTTATTAGCACAACCAAAAACAACAACACGGTCTTCATCTGTTCAGAGTTCTATTCCAAGTAGTGTTGGACAACAACAAAATCGTTTACTATCTCTTAGACAGCCTAGTGGAAATGAGAAAATTAAAAGAAATCGAATGCAGGTAATTTTTAAATTTTTGGGAGAAAATTTTTTGAGTTTTTTGGTTGAAAATCATTTTAAAAAATTTTTAGAGGCCTAAAATTTAATTTAAAAATTTTATTTTATCATTTTTTGTAGTTACTAACCTAAAAAATATAAAATATCAACGAACGGACTCGAACCCACGACCCTTTTTTCAAGGGGCAATTTTGTAGTCTGCGCCTTTACCCACTCTACCAAAATCACAAAATTTTTTGAAATTTCGATTTCTTTCTCCCCTTTTATTTTTTTAAAATTTCTTAGATTAAAAAAATTTTTTATTTTAAATTTAAAAAAAGGAACTACGCGAATTTTGGAACAACAAGTCTTCATGTAGAATTTTTTGTCTAGCAATTTTGTTACTAATTATAATTGCTTTAATTGTTGCTGGTAGGCTAGAAAAAAATTTTTTTTTGAAAATTAAAAAATTTTTTAGGTCTTGTAAGCAGTCATTTAAGCCTTCCAAAAGTATTTTTATTTCAAAAATATTTTAAAATTCCCTCCCTCTTTTCAGCATTTTGAATTTATTTGGATAACCCCAGAACAGTCCCGCTTTGGAACAGACCAATTAATTACGTCAATCCATGGCCGTTTAGATGTGGGAAAATTGGGGAAACAGGCACGACTAGAACTGACTGGAACTCCTCCTTTTCGTTCCAACTTTGTTTCTATTTTGGATTTTAAAACGGTTTGATTTTTTTAATTTTTAAGGGATTTATATTTGCGGACAAATTTTGCGGACAAATAAAAGATGTCCGCAAGATTTGTAATTTTTTGTTCGCATTTTTTTGTCCGCAAAATTTGTCCGCAAAATTTATCCGCAATATTTTTTTTGTCCGCAAAATCAGTCCGCAATTTTTTGTCCGCAAAATTTGTTCGCAAAATCTGTCCGCAATTTTTTGTCCGCAAATTCTGTCCGCAAAATTTGTCCGCAAAATCTGTCCGCAATTTTTTGTCCGCAAGATCTGTCCGCAATTTTTTTTTGTCCGCAAAATTTGTCCGCATTTCTTTTGTCCGCAATTTTTTCTTTTCACTTTCAGAATCGTGTAGCAATAATGGACATGTCTTTACGTTCAGGGAATTCGCAACAACAAAAACAACAAAATCGTTATATGCTTGTTTGCTTCGTTGTTGATTTGGATAGACAAAATATTGGGGATTTGGATGAATTGTTAAAATCTGCAAAAGTTGGGGCTAATGTATTTTTTCTTAATTTTTTTTATTAAATTATTTTTATTTTATTTTTAGAGATTAAATCAACTTCATGGATGGGAGCAGAATTGGCAATTTACTGGTATTCCTCTTAGCCAACCACCTTTGTTTGAGCCGGAGGTTTTTTTCTGAATTAATTTTGAGATAATGGGATACTCCCCATAAGAGACCTATATTTGGGATACCCTCTATTTAACAGACATCTCATTATAAGAGATACCTTCTATTTAAGATACCCCTATTATAGGCTACAATTCCCGCCCTCCTCCCCGTCCGTTACAAGAGATATACCTCTATTTGAGATACCCTCCATTTAACGTACATCTCATTATAAGAACCTTCTACTTAAGAGACCCCCATTATAAGCTACAATTCCCGCCCCCCTCCCCGTCCGTTACAAGATGTATCCTCTATTTGGGATACCCTCTATTTAACAGACATCCATTATAAGAGATACCCTCTATTTAAGATACTCCCATTATAAGCTACAAATTTCCCCACTAGAGAGCTAAACTGATGTGATGTTAATTTTAATTTTTAACAGATAGGCGAATGCAAAGATGCTCGTTGGGTACATTTATCCAAAATTAATGGAGATCAGAAAAATCAAAAATGCAGTGAATGCTTTGATTTTTGCTTGCCTGATTGGGGAATACAAAAAGATGGTTTCCTTTAAAAAAATTTTTTTTTCTTTTTAATTTCCCCCCCCCCCCTTTTATTTAAAGTTGTTCGTGACGAGAATTATTTAAACATTCTTCGACAAATTTGTTTTTCCTTGTTTATTCCCGAATGGAGACCATTTGCTCAACAAGCACCTCTTGGGGGTCAACAAAGAGGACAAACGATAGATTTATTGTACAACCAACAACAACCAAATAATAATAAAATTGATGAGAGTAAAGCTACATTAAATAATGGACCGACCGAGACAAAGTGGATATCTCTTCAAACACCACGTATGTAAAAGAGAGGTTTTAAAATTAAAAAAAATTATTTAATAATGTAAAATCATTTGAAATGTAGAGAAACAATGGGGGAATTTGACAGTGGTCATGGTCATAATTTTTTTATTTTTTTAATAGTTTTTTTTTTATTTTTTCACGGCCATTTCACCATTGTCATGGTCAATAGAGATCGGAAATTTTGAAAAGCCTGGACCTGTTCCTGGACTATGGAGTTTGATTTCTTGACCTGGACTGGATCCTGGGCCTGTAGTCCCCAGGAAAAACCCAGGAAGGTCAAAAAATGCCTGGACTCTGGGTACAGGAAAAACCCAGGCTTGGTCCAGACCCAGTTCGATCTCTAATGGTCAGCAACAATGGTCATTTTTATTTTTGCCAATTTTAATTTTGACCATTTTTGGGTTCTAATATTTTGTTTTATGACCATTTTTATTTTTAAAATAATTCCAAAAATAAATTCTCTTATCAAAATTTTTTTTTCAGAAAATAATGGCCTTATGGTTGACCAAAATCGTCTACTACCTTCATTACCCAACTCTCAATACTCTTCACCCCTTCAATTTCCACCAAATCAGGAACAATTTTCTCCAATTACCGGCCAGGCTCCTTCAGTTAATTTAATGTCAAGGAATGAGGGTTATAATGAAGAAGGTAGAAGACAATTAACAACATGGCCTTTTATTGGAGAAAGAAATCAAAAAAGCAGCGAAATGTTGCTACCCAATGGAAGGCAACAAAATTCTGGTATTCGACAACTTTGGTGGACTTGAATAGGTAAAAATACAATTTTTTAAATTATTTATAAGGCAAAAACACTTTTAAAAATACATTTCTGCTATTTCCGGAATGTTTGTATTTTTGTTTTAATTCTAATGTATTTTCTGTATTTTCCGGAAATGTATTTTTATTTTGGTTCTTCCGGAAAAATGTGTTTTCTCAAAATACAAAAATAATTCTGATATTTCCGGAAATGTATTTTCGTTTTAATTCTGATTTTCCGTCTGTATTTTCCGGAAATGTATTTTTAATTTTTATTCTTCTGGAAAATGTGTTTTCCCAAAATACAAAAATAATTCCGACTTTTCCGGAAAGCTTGTGTTTTATTTCCGGAAATGTATTTTTAATTTGAGTTCTTCCGGAAAATGTGTTTTCCGGGAAAATGTGTTTTCTCACAATACAAAAATAATTCTGCCTTTTCAGGAAAGTTTGTATTTTATTTCTGATTCTCCCTTTAATTTACCCTTTCCGGAAATGTATTTTTACTTTTTATTCTTCCGGAAAATGTGTTTTCTCAAAATACAAAAATAATTCTGATTTTTCCAGAATTTTATTTTCCCTATTTAAATGTGTTTTCCCTCAAGTTTTGTATTTTTTCCGGAAAATGTCTATCTAACAGAAAACACCTATTTATTTTATACAAGGCAAAAACACAACAATATATAGAGACAATACAAACATATTATAGAAAACATAGCGAAACACAAAATTATTTATTTATCTATTTATCGATGATTGTGTTTGTCTTCTTTTATCCCTCACGTATTCTTTGTTGCCGTCTTCCTTTCGTCTTGTTTCCTTCTTACTTTGATAACACCTTGACGAGCAGAACGACGAAGCCAATACAACAAGCACAGCAGCAACAAAATCCGATAAGGACCAACACAAAACCAAGTTCAGCAGCTGCTTCTTCTTCCGGAGTGAGTTTCTTAGTGCGGTAGCTGCCTCCAGCCAGATTTTGGAGTCCATGCGCTGCGTTGACCAACTAAAATGGGAGAGAAAAAACATTAATTTTAGATTAGTCAATTTTCATTATTACAAATCCTTCCGGCGGTTCTTCCTGCGGAGTTGCGCTGGTTGCGGCTTTGGTGGTTGTAGTTGTTGTGGTTGCTTCCTCAGCTGTCGGAGGGTCAGTAGTCAGCAAAGCATCCTTAAATTAAAAAAAGAACATTTTCTTTATTAAAAGAGCTAATCCTCTCTCTCACCTTTCCTCCCTCCGAAGCCTTGGAAACATCATCCCCCTCCATGTCGAGCTTGATGTTGATTCCCTCAGTGTTGACTTGTTCAATCAGCAGCAGAAGAAACACGACGGAGAGCAGCGACACAGCGTTGATGAGCATTGCTTGCTTCTTCCACGGCTTGTTGAAGACGAACATTTTGTTGTTGTAGACGATGGTGGTGGTGGTGGTGAAGATTGTTTTTGTTGGCGAGTGTTTGTGTTGAGGAAAATTTTGTTTTTATAGTAGTTTTTATTCTTTTGTTCTTTCGTACCACATATAAAAACAAAAATTTTCCTCAACACAACCACTCTTCAAACAACAAACAATCAACACCACCACCACCATCGTCTACAACAACAACAAAATGTTCGTCTTCAACAAGCCGTGGAAGAAGCAAGCAATGCTCATCAACGCTGTGTCGCTGCTCTCCGTTGTCTTTCTTCTGCTGCTGATTGAACAAGTCAACACTGAGGGAATCAACATCAAGCTCGACATGGAGGGGGATGATGTTCCCACGGCTTCGGAGGGAGAGAAGGTGAGAGAGAGAGAGAATTATCTCTTTGAATAAAAAAATGTTCTTTTTTTAATTTAAGGATGCTTTGTTGACTACTGACCCTCCGACTACGACCACTGAGGATACAACCACCAAAGCCGCAACCAGCGCAACTCTGAAGAAGGAAGCGCCGCGGAGGGGAATGGTAAAATAATAAAAATTGACCAATCTAAAGTTAATGTTTTTTCTCTCTCTCATTTTAGTTTGCCAACGCCATGAATGGATTCGAAAATCTGGCTCGACGCCGCAGCTACGAAGACCTCACTCCGAAAGAACGAAAAGAAATGAAGGAGGCTGCACCGTTTGTGATTGTCTTCTTCGTAATCATAATCTGTTGTTGCTGTGCTTGTATTGTCGGCGTTGTCGCTTTAACCATCAAGGCAGTATCAAAGAAGGAAACAAGACCAAAGGAAGTCGGCAACAAAGAATATGTTTGTGAGGGATAAAAGAAGACACACAATCATCGATAAATAGATAAATAAATAATTTTGTGTTTCGCTATGTTTTCTATAATATGTTTGTATTGTCTCTATATATTGTTGTGTTTTTGCCTTGTATAAAATAAATAGGTGTTTTCTGTTAGATAAACATTTTCCGGAAAAAATACAAAACTTGAGGGAAAACACATAAAAATAGGGAAATTAAGAATCAGAAATAAAATTCCGGAAAAATCAGAATTATTCTGTGTTGCGAAAATACATGTTTTCCGGAAGAATAAAAATTAAAAATACATTTTCCGTAAAGGAAAAATACATTTCCGGAAAGGGTAAATTAAAGGGGGAATCAGATATAAAACAAGCTTTCCGGAAAAGTCAGAATTATTTTTGTATTTTGAGAAAACACATTTTTCCGGAAGAATCAAAGTAAAAATGCATTTCAGCAAGAACCAAAAAATACATTCCCGGAAATCTGTGTTTTACTTTTAAGATGACTTGGTATTCGCAAGCCAGACCAACATGGTTAGTGCTCCCTATAAAAGTGCAAACACGACAAAATGCCTCCTAGTTGTAAACACGACAAAACGCCACAGAATAAAACACGACAAAACGCCTCCTCCCCCAGAATTAACGTATTTGTATTTTTATATATTTTTCAATATAAAAAACAAAATTTTCTTTAAATAAATAAAAATAATACAATTTATATTTCATATTCCCCAACTTTTTTCTTCAAAAATTCTTCCAAATTTCTTTTTGAAAGACAATTAATTCCAAAATTTGCATTTGTAAATATTTTGACATTATTTCCATTTTCTGAATTTATTATCAAATTTAAAGCAATTTTTAATTGACAATAAATATATGCAAAATGAATAGATTCTGATGATTGTTGTTGTAATAATAAGCCTAATTCGTTTGGTTGTAAATTTGAAGTTAACCTTTTGAAGTGAAATTAAATTTTATTTACTTTTGGTAAATTTATTTATAAATAGTGGTGGGGGATCTTTGGTTAACCAAAACTGAACTTTTTCGGTTCTGTTTGAAACCGACAACCCCATGTTTGAGCATATCTCCCAGACCCATTGACCAATAAAACTATAGTTGGATCTCGCTTATGTGACACTAAGTTATATCTCTCCATACAAAATGTATGGACACTCAAGGGTATGATGTAAGGTAA